AGGATGTCCTCCATAGCTTCTAAGCCTTGTCTTTCCAGCTCTAACATAATTCTCATCAGCTTCTGACCTCTCTCCTAAAGGCAAGGAACAGCCAAAATAAAGTGTCCATTATCCAAATTCAAGTGAATTGTTACTACTACCCTTTGCTATGTGGGCACCTTCACACTATTTGAAAATGTGCCATTTCCCTCCCCCTGACCTCCATAGATTTTTTTTCTTCTGAATGAGTTAGTAGAATCCTAAGCAAAAATGAAAACAATGGTCAATTGTTCAACATACAGAACAAACAATAGAGTCTAGTAATCAAAAAACATCAGCAAAATAGTGAGTAGTAACTTCAAAGGAAATACAATTTTTAAAGACTGTGCACAGCTTGAGAGTGGGGGATAAAACTTGTATCTGGACAAGAAAAAAAAGGAGTTTCTTTGATTCATCAAGTGTGCAAGCTCATTAACAACAAAAATACTACAGGACACTTGGGAGTTCCTGGAAGGATTTTCCAAAAACAGGCACTAGTACTAAGAAAAGAATCTAGAAGGGCATCTCTGAGGACGTCACCCGCCTTACTCCAGGTTTAGCCACAGGATTAAAATTAAGGGAGTTTGCTCATTTACCTTTTAATCTCTGTATAGTCAAACAGCATTGACGTGAATGATAGATAAAATGTTACGTCTAAACTACAAAGAAGAAATAGTCCACCCTGGAGTAGGGACTGTGTCTGTATAAGACAGGGGTGGGGAACCTTTTTTTGGTCGGGGGCCACTGACCCACAGAAAAAAAAATCAGTCTGGGACCCCACACAAGTGGCCCCTGACTGACAAGGAGAAAGACATTCCCCTTTCACACCATTCCCATACAGGAATAATGGACTTTATAATATATTTGTACTGTCCAGGAGAGGCAGGACAGGACATACATTTCCTGGAGAAAGATTGGAGAGCAGGTGAAGGGTTGAGAGGGATGTTGAGGTCACCCTGCCTTATAACCAGGCTGGAGAGAGTTACACACAGACATTCAGGGTGTGGCTTGCATGCTGGAAGGCTGTTTGTAAGCAGTCTTGGTAGGAGCTACCTCAACAAGGCATTGTAAGACATGAGGCCACAGCCTCACACTGGTCTGGACTGTCCCCCAGTATGTCACATTTACAGTGACAGCCATTGAAAGTCTGAGGGATTTTATGTGAGTTTTGCAAAATCTTGTAAGTTCTCTCCTGATTCTTTTTAAGGGGCATCTTGGGTAACATGTAAGTTTTTTGCAAACTTTCTCTAAACTGATAGTGATTGGTAATGCAGCAAGTAAAAAGAAAAAAAAAATCACCATTACAAATGAGCCCTATTCAGAAACAGACAACTTTTATATTCTTAAAAATCCCCTGAGCTCAGAGTCTGAATTTATCTCTGCCAACATCTAGTGAGAATTGTTTGTAGTCCAGTGTTTACACAAAATTAATATGAATAGAATGCAACCAACCATGGCTAAAGTGTTCACTTTTCTATTTTAACTTTAAGCCTCTGTTCAGATTTTGTAGAGGGGAAACGCACTAATTTCCTTGTAATTACATTTAAGATTGCTACAGAAAAAAATATAAAAGCTTTCCTAGAGAGAAAGAAGCATAAGTCATGCAAACGTTTACAAATCTTTTGTTACCACATTCAAAGTTTTGGATCCCAGGTGTATTAATGCTAAGCAGGGGAAATAACTATCTATAAAGGACTTGGGTCCTAGAAGGTTTACCTTATCATTCTCAGTGACAGACCGGGACCACTCATGTGCCTTGTACAGTTCATGTCTGCGGTCAGGCTTCTCCTGGAACCGAGGTTTCTTTTTTACAGGATCATCATCGCCAAGAAAAGGCGACTGAACTTTTGGTACTAGTTTGACATCATCAACAAAGATGAAAGGTTTAAAGATGGACCTGAAAAGAGTAAGACAGTTATTCACGGGAATGTTCTGTCTGTCACTCAGACATAGATCCAGGCTACTCTGACAACAGAGATTCAGTGAACAGCATTGCATGTGCGTATCTATATTACTGTGGTGGGTTAAGGTCAGATGTGATGCAAAAATAACCTAATATAAGAACACAATGTAAGAAAATTAATTTGCTTTAAAAACATTGAGTCCTGCAGAGCTTTCAAATTGACCTCCCTTTCTCCTTCCATGTCACTTTCCCCATTTTTGCAAATTACATTTTTTGCTGGGGGGAGGCGTAGTGGGGGAGAAGGGAGTAAATGTTTTGATCATCTTTAAATCCCAAAGTTTAGCCCCATACTGTTCTCTTGCTTTCTTTTTTCCTTCATTTTCTCTCATCCTACATGTTAAGTACTCTGCGGAAGCCATTCTTAGGATACTCAAAGAAATCAACCGTCTCAGTGCTAGTTTCCCAACATAAAACTTTCCAGTTCTCCTACATTTACACAGAAACAATTTGTATGTCAATAAAGCTCTTCACACTCTATACAGCTAAGCTCTGGTCTACATTAGGGAGTTATTTCAAAATAACCCCCCTTATTTCGAAAGAATAAGCAGAGTGTCCACACTACTAAGCTTGGTATTTTGAAATAATAGGCTGGTTATTTCAAAATCTGTATGCCTGCTTTCCTCAGGGAATAATGCTTATTTCAAAATAGGTATTTCAGGAGTTATTTCAAATTTAGTTATTTTGAAATAATTTCCTAGCGTAGACAAGTCTTTAAAGTCCTATACTCAGGAGAGAATATCTTTGCTGAAACAAACTGAAGGCATATTCAATGCCATCCAGTTATGAGAGTTAGAGGAAGATTTTCAGACAGTCATTACACAACTTACTATGTACCTACTATGTACTTCTGAACATTTGGCATTGACAGCAGTGTCCAAGTAGGGAAGGCCAGGAAAGGTTAAGGCATGGCTTCTGTGTAATGGAGGCAAGGGGAGGCTAAGCTTCACCCCTCCCCACCCCAATTCACGCTTCTGGGGGGTGGATGGGAAACAGTGTCAGATTCAGGGCCTCCAGAAAAATCCCTCCCCGCCAGCCGCAGGGCTGGCAAGCTCTCGCTGCCTGATGCAACCATGGTGAAGGCACAGAGATTTTCTGGTCTCGGAGCCACAGCAGAGGTTTGGGGGGAGGGAAATGTGGGTGGGGCTTTGAGATGAAGAAGCAGAATGGGAGAAAAACGGGGAAAAGGGCTCTGAGGGAAGGACAATAATGGGGACAGGGCCATGGGTGGAATAAAGGAGGGGCTGCAGGGCAAGGATGAGGACTGGGGAGGGGCACAGAGACCAGCCACCACCCAGCGGAGGCTGAGAGCTCTCAGCACCCCTCACAGCCCTGACCAACCTCTGAGCCCCTTCCTTCCCCCCCCACCTCACCCCCAGGCAAAGGCAGGGGGCTGAGTTCTCCGCCTCCTCCCCAGCTGGGGCAGGCTGAGAGCAGCGAACAGGGGCATGGCTTTGGCTAGAAGAGGCAGAGCAGGGAAGCTTTGCCCACTGCCCATGGGGTAAGGAAATGGTTCCACACAACACACTGTAACACGTCTCATCAAGCAAAACATTTCCATCCGGAATTAGATGGGGACTCATAAGGAAAGCCTCGTGACTCCAGGCTGGGGAGGGGGAGGGGAATAGTTACCAGAACTAGCTCAAGTGCACCTGAGGCTCACCAGCCTCCCTGAAACCCAGCAGCTGTTTATTTTTAAGAAAGACAGTCAGCTGCCAAGGTGTTTTCAGGGAGGGAGGGAGCAGGCTGACATGACCAGCGTGGGACAGCTTTTCTCTTTGCAAAGCAGCACTGACCCCGAGCTGTGCCTGAGTTTTTATTGTACTTGACAATAGCCTCTCTAGAAAAGTTTTAACTCACAGAGAAGCAGGAACTCTGGTGTGGCTGGTTTTGCCAATGTCTTGCGTACACACCTTGCTTTATTTGCTTTATGGGGAGCACAGGTGCTGGAACTAGGTGTGCTGCCACACCCCCGGCTGTAAATGGTTTCCATCATATACAGTGTTTAAAGTTTGGCTCAATGGCTCTAATCACCCCCAAGATACAAGCTGTTCCAGCATGCCATGGGGAGAGGGAAGGAACTCTGCAAGTCTGTCTGCTTGCAGCCAGGCTAGGGGGCTGTAGCTTTGCTCTGGAAAGGAAAAGAATCCCAAAGGGGGTTTAAAGCCTTGTAGCAGCCTTTATCCCCCACGGATTGGAGAGCAATGGTTCTGAGTAAGGCAAGAGTATTTTGAAGAAGTGAAAATAAGGAATCTTGGGGCATGTCTACACAAGGAAATTATTTCAAAATAACAACTCACGAAATAAAAAAAATTGAACTAGTGTGTCCCCACTGTGGGGGAGCCACAACTTTAGTTGGAAGCAGGCTCTGTAATTGTGGATGTGCTAGACTTAGATGCCTTGACTTAGAGCCCCAGGAAGCACTGGGGAGTAATTACTTCAAATTAATTACTCTGCGGAGCAGTTATTTCGAAATAGCAGCAGCAAAGTGTCTACACTACCAGGGATGTCGAATTTCGATTAATCAGCTAATCGAGTAGTCAATGGAATTTCCATTGGGGGAATGCTTGCTATCCCTGCTGCGCTTCTGCCTTTGAAATGTAGCAAGAGCCCCGGACGGAAGAGGCAGAGGCACAATGGGGAACCAGGATGAGCGGAGACTGTTTCAGTTCCTGCTTGCGCTGGGTCCTGACTGCTGCACCTCTGCCTTTAAAATGTAGCAAGAGCCATGGGCAGCTCTTTCTGCATTTCAAAATCAGAGGCACAGCTTCTGGTACTGGGTGCGAGTCAGGACAACTGATTCCCGCCTCGCGCCTGGTCCTCTGCTGTGCCTCTACCTGCCCTCCAGTGGAGATGGTGCTGGGGGGGAACTGGCTTTTAAGCTGGTAGTGGGAACAGTCATTATTTCAAAATGATGGGGGTTATTTTGAAGTTCCTTCTTAGTGTAGACTATGGCACAGAGACCAATAGATTTATTAGGGCATAAGATTTCATGGGTAAAACCACGAAGAAGTGGGTTTTACCAACAAAAGCTTATGTCCTAATAAATCTGCTAGTCTCTAAGGGCGTGTCTAGACTACATGGCTCCGTCGACTGAGCCATGTAGATGAGTTTACTCGGCAAAGGGAAATGAAGCAGTGATTTAAATAATCGCCACTTCATTTACATCAAAATGGCCCCTGCACGGTGCCACTCAGCTGTTTGTCAGCACAGCGCGATAGTCTAGACGGGGATCAGCCGACCCCCATAACCCTTCATTGGCAGATCCTGTAAGCAGGAGCGGTCCGAGGCCGGCTGCGGCAGCTGGTGCCCTATGCAGAGGTGCTATCAGTGCCCCCGCCTGCACGGCTGTCAATGTCCATGAAGTCATCATCGTGCGCCCAGGCCAGCGGCGCCCTAGGCAACTGCCTAGTTTGCCTAGGCTCATGGGCCGCCCCTGCCTGTAAGCCTTGTGCAGGATCTGTCGACGAAGGGTTCTGGGGTTGGCAGATCCCTGTCTAGACTGCCGCGCTGTGCTGACAAACAGCTGAGTGGCACCGTGCAGGGGCCATTTTGATGTAAATGAAGCAGCAATTATTTAAATTGCCACTTCATTTCCCTTTGCTGAGTAAACTCATCTACATGGCTCAGTCAACGGAGCCATGTAGTCTTGATACACGCCATGGGTATGTCTATGCTATAGCATTATTTTGAAATAGCTTATTTCGAAATAACGCGTATACGCACAAAATGCATTTTGAAATAGCATTTTGCTATTTTGAAATAGTGCATCCACACTGATAGGACACTGAATTGCATTTAGGGCCACCCGGAACTGGTTCTGGCAGGGCATCAGGTCAGGAGTTAGATACCTTGTTTGGCTGCTGCCTGAGGCTAAGACCTGTGCTTAAAGGGACCCCCCCCCAGACAGCCGGTTCCAAGGTTTCCCTGCTTGCTTGCCTACCTCAATGAGGGACAGCAAAGCATTTTTTTCATCTGAGTGTTCTGGTTTCCCTCACTCGGGACACCACAGCACTCTGCAACATGGAGCCAGAGCTGCCCCTGGGCACTCTGGTGTTTCTCTTGGACACGTTGCTGTGAGCCTGGCTGCACTTTCTGCAGGCTGCCATCCAGGAGGACCATCGGGGGCTGTCAGTATCCAGGAGGCACTGTGGGAGAGCTTCCACCCTGAGGAGCACTAAGAGCCTTCCTGGTCTGCCCCACTGGGGGCTTGTACCTCATTCCTCCCTCACGTCCTTCCACTTACCACTTCCTAACCTCCCTACCTGATGTAAAATAAAATACACGTCTTTTCATGAACATCTGAGTGTTCTGGTTTCCCTCACTCGGGACACCACAGCACTCTGCAACATGGAGCCAGAGCTGCCCCTGGGCACTCTGGTGTTTCTCTTGGACACGTTGCTGTGAGCCTGGCTGCACTTTCTGCAGGCTGCCATCCAGGAGGACCATCGGGGGCTGTCAGTATCCAGGAGGCACTGTGGGAGAGCTTCCACCCTGAGGAGCACTAAGAGCCTTCCTGGTCTGCCCCACTGGGGGCTTGTACCTCATTCCTCCCTCACGTCCTTCCACTTACCACTTCCTAACCTCCCTACCTGATGTAAAATAAAATACACGTCTTTTCATGAACACAAACTCTCTTTATTTAACAAAATGAAACTCTGGTGAGACTGGGGAAAGGAGGCGGGAGAGGGGAAAAGACAGAAAGACAGGGTGGGAGAGGGGAGGAGGAAACCTGGGAGGAGGGCGCTGGAAGGGGGAAGCAAGGAAAAGAAGGGGGAGGGGAAGCTCAGGGCTCAAGGTTGGGGGCATCACCGGACCAACTTGATTTTCATGCAAACCGGCTCCTGGGTTCGCATGTGGCCTTTGGTGGCCAGGCTGGCAGCTATCCTGCCATAGACGGCCGCATTCCTCTGTCTAGTGCGGAGATCATGGATGTTGGGGGCCTCCCCCCCAAACCTGAATAATCTCCACTCTGGACCAGGAAGGCGCCCACCTTCTCCGGGCCCTGGCAGGCTCCTGGGAGCTGGCAGGCTGCTCCTGGGGGGCAATGGACAGCTAAATGCCAGTGGCTCGCTGGCTCATGTTTTGGGGCCACTGGGTCGGGGCAGTGACTGCTGGCTCTGGGCTGGCAGGCTTGGAGCTGGCACAGGCATTGTGGCCAGAGTCTATCCCTTTAAGGGCTCCAGGAAGGAGGAGGGAGAGAATTATTCTTGGCTGAGCCTGGAGTGGCCACCAGGGCATCCTGGGAAGGCTGGAGGCCCCCTATTTCGATATAAGTGTCTATACAGCACTTATTTCAAAATAGCTATTTCGAATTTGGCGTTATTCCTCGTAGAATGAGGTTTACCAAATTCAAAATAAGCCCTGCACTATTTTGAATTAATTTCAAAATAGTGGTTTGCTTGTGTAGATGCTAGTAAAGTTATTTCAAAATAACAGCTGTTATTTTGAAATAATTTTGATGTGTAGACACACCCTATGGTGCCACACAACTCCTCCTTCACCTGGGAATTCAAGTCTTCAATGGACTCTGAACTAGGCAATAGGCAGATTCACTTCAAGACTTCTCTCTGAGACTTGAAGTGAATCTGCCTATTGCCTAGTTCAGAGTCCAGTGAAGACCTGAATTCCCAGGTGAAGGATGAAATTCCTTTCAGGACTCATTCCCCTGTGGGAGCACTTTAGTCACTGAGGCCTACTCTATACTAGAAGGTGGTCAGCTTACGGTACACAACTCTAGCTGCACAAAATGCGTAGCTGGAGTCAGCTTACCTTAAGCCGAACTAGGGTGGCGGCATCCATACAGCAGGAGGCCAATGGGAGCAAACACTCCCATTGGCTTCCCTTACTCCTCGCAGAAGGAGGAATACCGGACACCAGTGGGGGCTGCTGTTAGTGTTCATTTTACAGGTCTATATAGACCCACTAAATCGAACACTAGAATATCGGCCTCAGGAGCACTGATCTTCTGGTAAGTACAGACGAGCCTTGAGAGTACTTAGGCACTACAGCAATTATCTCTGAGAACTCATGGAGAATAAGTGCGGTCCCAGAGGACTAGAGAAGGAAAAACATGGTACCTATCTTTAAAAAACATGAATAAGGAGGACCTGGAGTTATATAGACCAACCTAACTTCAATAACAGGAAATATACTGGAGCAAATCACTGGCGTATCACTACGTTTCTCACAGTACATGCTCAGCCATTATTATATGGGGCACTGTGAGAAGAATTATTCTCCTCAGGATTAAAATATTTAAAGAAATTAAATTGCATTTACATTAATGTCACCACTTTCTGACTATATCCTTTTCTTCTGTTTATTTTTACTTCCGGAGGATGTCTCATTTAAAAGGACTTGCCTCCATGGTGAACTATTTTCCAATTACCAATGCTAGCACTCTGAACAAGTAAAAATGCCATAGCAGAGATTTAAGCTATGGCATTTTGTAGCAAGAAAGCTACTGATCTTTACACCAAGATTAACAACATGGTTTTTATTTGGCCTAGTCCCATGGATGTTTACTGGGATTCCTACTTAAATTGCAGTCAAGGAGACAAAAAGGAGTGTTCCAAAGGGTGTATGGGAATATGATGGGGAGGGGACACAGGAGGTGCTGAATTTTCTGACTCAGAACATAGACAGGAAATGCAACACACCTCTGTGGAGGGACAAGATGGGGGAGGAAGGAAGGTTTCATGCACCCTTTCCCTCTTTTGCTCACCTATGCAGAGCCAGTCACAAGGGAGTCCTAAAAATCTGTCACTAAAATCAGTTTAATAGCTTTCAATATACATCGGCACAGGCGGAATCCCCTTATTAAAGCTTGCACCATTCAGCCTGAGAAGGGCACTAAGCATCCTGACCAGTGTTCCCTCTAAGCTGCGTAGCAGCACCTCTTCACAGGTGATTTATCAGCCCTGCTCAGTCATGCATGGAGCCCTGAGCCTCTGACTGGACGGGGCTGATTCATCACCTGTGACGCGGTGCTGCCCCGCAGCTGAGAGGGAACACTGATCCTGACTTACCTTGAAGGATCCGGAGTGCCGGTGAAGTAGTGAATACAGGGGGAGCTGGGGTTCTGAGGCAAAACGGACACCATGCTAGCCGTAGTGAGGAAAGTTTCGGAGTCCACGCAGACACCACTAGCTTTGTCACGCAAGACATCCATCATTGTCTGCACAGTGATATTTCCTGCAAGAGAGGAAAAAAAAACAGCCAACCAAACAGAATGCCCAACAGGCCTGATTCACAGCCCACCAAATTCAAAGAAAAGTAATTTTACTTCATTGGGCGTTGCCTCAGGCCCAACACAAAGAGCACCATATCACGTAGATGGGAACATACAAGCTGCTAGCAGTGGAGGAGGTATTTACAAAACTTAAGGCTTTAAACATACTAGAACAGATTACAGCTGCCTTAAATCCCCTAAGTGAGGGACTTTTTGCCACTGTAAATGTTTCTCCATCCACAGACACAAGTGTGAATTTGGCCCGTCCTGTCTAATGGACTGGAAGTAATTAAAAGCACAGAGACAAGCTGATAAAAGAATCTCTAATATGGTGCATGAAATGTTTCCAGTGGCTTTTGGAGCAGTTATCAATGTTTAACTAGACTGTAATAGAGCAGGACAACAGCTCTGCTATTAGTTATGGTAAAGACCAGTTTTCTATTTAAAGCTCAACTGTTTTAAGAACTCTAATTAGTTTCTGTTTGTTTCCCTTCCTGACCTTCTCCTACAGTTTGAGGATTACTTTGAGTCATGGGCACTGGACCACACCTTTACTAGCATAGTACGCTGCTAGTAAAAAGCTTTTTGCCCAGTCTCCTGTTGTACAAGAACTAGATTTCATTACCCTTTCAAATATAAGTGTCATCCTTAATGTAAAGATTTTAAAGATAATAGCAACACTTCTCAGGCATGGCTGAACTGGTGCCTTGAACAAAGATTAAACAACACTTATGCACAGCAGCAGATGCTGCAGTAATTCCAGAAAGAGTCTGGCCAGCTCCAGCTGTGTGATTAGTGAATTCTGGACCCATTTCTGCTGCTAGCATTTCAATACTGAAAATCTGCTCTGGTAGTAATAAACATCCAGTTTGACCTGAGGTGGAGGCAGGGGAGAAAGTCTTTCCTATAAGTGCATCTTCGTTTCAGCAACAGAATTCCAGTCCCAAGATTTGCATCCATCGCTTTGTTCTAAACAGGCAGCTGGCTAACATCTCTTCGCCACCTCACAATAGGACTGATATAAACACCCTTCTATAAAAACACAATCCCCCTCATGGTTTGCTATTCTCATGCTAGGAGAATAGGGACACACTGGTAGAATATGACTCTTATTCCCATATATCATAATACCTGCAATGGAAAGACCCACAGACTAGGATGTTGGACTGTAAAGCTCTAAGTTTTGTGGGGTTGCCTAAGAGCCTTATTCTAAATTTAGAAAAGTGGCAGCTTCATGCAGGTGTTTTGCTCAAGGCGATTTCTCAACCTATGCATTTTCCTTCCACATGGCTTATGGAGTGGCATGTGCAAGTGCTCTCCTTATATCCACTTGAGACTATGGAGAAAGGTCTGGTTGAGAAAAGTGGGAAGAAAAAAAATGAAGGGAAAATCATTTCAACTTACCTTCTTTTTTTCCTAGGCTCTCCTGGCCTGAACAGCAGCCTAAGTGGTCCTCAGCTAGAGAAAACACTTCAGAAAAATTGAATTCTGTATCTCCAGTCCACCAGCCTTGAATCTCTGCATAATTCCTAAGCTCAGGATGCTCAGCATCAATTTTTGTGGTTAATGAAAGCTGATTGCAAATGCACTTTACTCCATCTATGGAAAAAGCCATACATCACAATATACCATTACTGCAAAGTAGCTAGAAACACATAGAGAAGAAAATAACTGATTAGCAAACTCAGCAGTTGACCGATCTAGACATTTCTTTATGATAGTCACCTAATTACACATGCACAGGCTTCACTCGTCACTTCAAGTTTGAGTTCCTGATTCTCCATTGTGTCTTGTGTCATATTTGGATACTTATCCCTACACCTCATGCTTGTACAATGCTAGCATATCAGAATGCTATCATTTCCCACCCTGAAGAGCTTCTACAAGGTGCAAAGCAGTAGAGACTCAGCCTCTTAGATTTCCAGAAACTAAGTTATGGCACTTTCAAAAATCTGTTTGGAAGTGATCTTGACCCTTTGCCCAAAACTATATTAACTAGCCCATTCAACATGATCACTACCAACCCAGAGTTGATCTCTATGACATATTTGAAAAAAAAGTTAATGCCACTATTCAACACAGTGTCATATACATTTGTTAAGTGATTTTTCATTCTTGAAACTGTCACCTAATTATAACTGGTGATTGAAAATATCTTGTTTGAAAATGGGCATCATTTGAGAAAGCAGCAGAGGAAGAGCTCATGAGGAATAATTTATAATCTGGTTTCCAATCAAATAGAAAATTTAAATATTTAAATTGCAATATTAATTATAAATCCTTTCATAAAAATGAATCATATACTATAACACATAGAGTCTCTGTGAGCACAATATTTGTTTTAAACAAGGCTTTATAGGTGTTAAGACAATAACATGAATTGAAAATAAATCCTTCCTGTATTTCTATCTTCTGTAGGACTTTTTCTAAAAAAGTTCTGCCTGAATTGCATATATCCATACACATCAGACAGCATGATTAATGAATACTTCTTCAAATAGTCACCAGAGGATACAGTAAATGCATCATAGGAGCAATAGAAATAATTGTATAAACTATACTCATTAGCCAAACAAAAAAACTTGACAGTGAAGGTAGCAGGCTTATTTTTAAAAGGCAGGATGAAGTGATTTATGATTTTTTAAACTTTAATAGCATCATTAACAGCTATTGTATAGAATCAAATTTGCCTTTCCAATGCCCACTGAATGAAATGTAAATAGTTAATACAGATCTAGGTTAGAAGCTGCTATATACATTACTGCCCGCAAACCAACTACAGAAAGAAAGGTCAGTGGCAGGCTGAAAGGTTTTAGTATGTTCAGCTTCACACATTCAAACATAATTGCACCAAGAAAGGGCTTTAATATCTTAGGGCTTTGTCTACGCTGTCATTTTACTGCGCTGTAACCTTCTCGCTCAGGGATGTGAAAACACCCACACACACCCCAAGTGCAGCAAGTTACAGCACTGTGAAGCACCAGTGTAAACAGACTCAGGAAGGTGGTTTACCTGGACAGCTCTCTTTCCAGCACTGGTACAGTGAACACACTGACACATTAACATGCTGCTGTGGCAGCAGAAATATAGACAAAGCCTCAATTGTTCATTTTCAGGAGACTGTAAGATTGGTGTAATTTTGATTTGACCAACTGGAACATGAGTTATCAAGCTAAGCAAAAAAACCATTAGCAGCCCTTTAAATATTACAATAATTAAACTCATTTTTTTTCCTTGATTCTTTCCAGTAGAGTCAAATTGACAGAATTACTCAAGTCAGTTCTAGGTTCAGATCAACAGGAGGACAATAGCATTATATTATTAATTTACAAAGGTCTATTTCCTGACTAGCTTTAGAATTACAGTATTCTTCATCACACCATTTCATTTAAGGAAAAATGTTTTGTGTAACAACAGCAATCATTATGTAGAAGACCCAATGTGGCCCTAGGGACAAAGTTTGAAAACCCAGTGTCCTACAAAACACCCATCAACAGCAAACTCCCCCTGCTGAGCATAGGATACCAGTGCCCATGACTTTTGTAGAACGTGAGCTTTGTTCTTGAAAAGCTTAAGAATAGCCATCCTGGCTGCAGAGAGAACCTTCTGTGGGAAACCAGCATAAAATGATCCTGTGCCACACTCCTGCAGAAAAGCACCGTTCCCTCTGCCACTGCTGGTAGCTTTTGCAAGTGGCAGGAGTGTGAAAACTGGTCAGTTTCACTGGCACTAATAGGAGAGTAGAGCAGAAATGAAAAAAAAAACAAAAAACAAGGAGGGTGTCATGCTTCTGCCTGGGAAAAGCTATGGGCAGCAGCTGATGCAGGCAATGGAGTTATTTACTGGGAAGGATGACTCAGAAAGCGGGTGAAGGGTTGAGTAGCAGACCCACTAACTGCATCAACTACGAGGTTCAAATAAGAGATAAGACTTCTTAACGCCAGTCAGATGGCCCTCAACGCCACCCGGACTGCCTCCCCCAATCAGTGTCATCCAGAAGGTGCCACCCAAGTTCCACAGTGTGCCATGTGGGGCCCAGCAGCAATTTAAAGGGCTTGGCATTCCAGCTGCTGCCACGGTAGTTGTAACAGCCAAGAGCCCCTTTGAACTGCCGGACCCTAAGGCAGGAGCCCCATTAGCTCTCCCTCCCCTGTCGGTGAGTCTGGATGAGTCAATATAAACAGGGCCCATGAACAGCATCCTACTACTTTCCAGGAAATAGGTGTTTCATCAGGACATTACTCCTGGACAGTCCCCTCCATCAGTCTTTAGTATCTATGTCTGGCTAGAAGAATTATTCCTCTCTCCAAGAAGAGTGGTGAACTTTCAAGTCTTGCCTGGAGAAACAGCGTAACTGCAGAAGGACAATCTGTCCATGCAAAAGACACACCGTTAGCAGGCGAGACTGATGCGAGCATCATCATACAGCTTTCACTGTTTGACTGATACATCCAAGCTGGTTAGAATAAGACCTTTTCATAACCCCTTGATAGCTTTATCCCAAGTGAAAGGGAATAAATAAAACAAGCTTAGAATAGATGCGATATGCAGCCTCCTTGTGATGACCAACTTGTCACCAAAACTCACCTGTGATTTTTTCTGCTGCCCAATATTTCCCAACAGTCTCCAGGACCCAGGCTTCTGCTCTGTCCACAATCAGAAATGCACTTTGGAAAGCATGGCAGGAACTCCCATCTTCATAATAATTTCCTCCTTGTCCGTGCTCTTCCAACAAAGAAATGATTACATCTAAGGCTTCTTTAGCTGTCGCACCTCTTTCTAGCCCAAGCCTTAAAAATACACACACACACACAGACACAAAAACAACCAATCCAGTTTACTGGACTTTTCATGGTTACTTAATGTGCTAAAGTGACACTTTAAAAAAAAAAAAAAAAAGCTAAAAAATATTCTGCTATAATATGAGCTACAGTTTTAGTGGCGGTTGATGGAATCCTTTCTAAAGGGTCAAACAACAGAAGTATATTCAGAAGTTATTGGTCAGACATCAGCAATTTGTGCTTTAAAGGTTCACTGGAAATAAGAGGCCTAGAACTTTATAATTGCATACTCATATTAACTAAACTGGTTTCTTCATTCACAAGTCTACTCCAGTTGCTACAATTAACATGAGTGTAACAGGGGCTGTCTTAAGACAGCCTGCAGCATTCTATTTACCCTCATTAGGGAGAGTGAATCCGAGTGGTACATAAAATTTTCCAAGACTGTTGTAAAGTAGCAGATCTGTACACCTCTTGCTATGTACGAAGCACTAGATCACGGGGAACAGATATTACAGAAGGATGACAGAATGAATAGCGAATGTTACCTTATCACCTTTCTCTTCCTGTGTGTCCTCACTTAGGGTACATCTACACTGGAGCATTATTTTGGAATAACTGACATTATTCTGAAATAACATAGTGCGCGTCTACATGGCAAGCCTTTATTTCAAAATAATGTCAAACTGGAGGACTTCTCACTCTAACTCATGTAACCCTCACTTCACGAGGAGTAAGGGAAGTCGAAGGAAGAAATGTTCTTCCTTTGACTTCCTGCTGTATAGACAGTGCCAAAAGCTGAATTCAACTATTTCAACTTCAGCTACGCAATTGATGTAGCTGAAGTTAGGTATCTTATTTCGACTTTTGCTCTGCAGTGTAGACGTACCCTTACAGTCCACCATACCCTCCAAACAAAATTAATTGCACATCAGATTTCAGTGACTGTTTCATATTATATGTAGATAGATGCATTTGTTGAGCATCCATGGGCAACTCTACTATGTTAACTTCCTTAAGTACTGTTTGGAAGTACTAAAATGCAAGGCACTTGCCAGAACAGAATGTGACTGGCTTGAAATGAGCATAAAAGTAAATTTGCAAATCCTAGCAAGAAAACTTAACTACTTGTTTTAGAAAACTAATCAGAATAGTAAAATCAATGAGGTTTAGCACATTGATTTGAAGTTATTTACATTCAAAATGAAACCCTCTTAGTTAGCTAATTTTCTAACAGCTACTCAGCTTTACTTAACAGCTGTCTAGGCAACAGATTGACAGTTTCTATTTATTTAATCTTTTAATCTATTTCTACCGTCAGCTAAGTACAAGCTATTTAGAAAAGTTAATACCCAAGAAATCTGATTTCATTGATACTTTAACTCTGGCATAGCATGCTGTACATTCTTTTTTTTCAAGTGATATTAACCTCCCAAATTATGGAAAAAACCCTATTGTAGTAACAAAAATGAAAGTCAGTATTTACATCTACCTTCTAGAGAACAAAAAACCCTTTACCAAAATGAACTATGTCTCAGCACAATTATGGAGAAGCCCTATTGAACTAAGCTCTTCTGGAAGGTAGGAAAACAGAGGCAGCAGTTAAGAGCCAATTTTTTAGAGTTTTTTTTCTAAAGTTGGGAACAAAATTAGACAGGGCCTGATCTTCAGAACTGGGAACAGCCCACACTTCCAACTGAAGTCAGTCTCAAAATACAGCCTGCGGGTCTGAAGCAGGGCAACAAAAGGAGTGCCCATTTGAAAATGCAGCTTTAAATCACTTACCCATGTTTGCACTTCAAGCCAATGGCATAGCCAAGGACTCCATATCAGTCTCAAGTCCTGTTTTTTAATAATAAATCTATTCATCAACTCTATTCTATGAAACAAGCCTTGACATTCCACAACCAGAAGTTTGGGAACGTGAAGGATGGAGAATGTCGGTTTTATTGTAAAACAGTCTCACTTTGCACTGTTCCCAGCTAACGGCAGAAGTTGTGCAAAGGCTAAGAGTCTTCATCCCAGAGATGGGTCTCAGCACTCAGTGGAAGTAAGCCCTACCCAAGGAAGTGAGCTCGCTCCAATATGTGTGTCCCACGCTGCTGGCAAGGATGCCATTTTGGGAGGGTAGGGGAGCAGCAGCCATGCGCTCCAGGACTCAACTTGCTTTTCATCCCATTCCATGGACACCAAAGGATTGCAAGGAAAGTACTTGCATCCCCTGCATGCCTCTCACACCTGCCTGCTGTGCTCCCTTCACCAGCCAGGTCTGAGGCATGCATGGAATGCAAGCACTTGCCCCGCACTCCTGGATAGTCCAGGGAATGGGATGAAAAACTAGCTGCATCTTGCACTCCTGGATAGTCCAGGGAACGGGATGAAAAACTAGCTGCATCTTGGAGGGCACAGCTTCTATCCTCCTGAAATGGCACCCTTGGCTGCTGGGCACCTCTGGAGAAAGTCACATGGCTGTATGGGCCTCGTCTAGGACAGTGATCACCAATCAGTAAATCGGCATCTTGGAGCCTCTGACAGGCGATCGCGATCGGTTTGGCCAGGAGACTATCAAATGCACTTCAGCTACCCCATGAAGCCTCATGCTTACTCCGCAGATTCGCTTCAGCTACCCCACGAAGCCTCATGCTTACTCCGCAGATTCGGAGAGGCAGAGAAGAGGACCTCTTATGTCAAGGTGTCCTCTTCCTCCCGTCCCTGTACCCCTCTCCACAGAGTGAGCAGGGCAGGACCTTTGAGAAGGCCCAGGGAAGGAGGCGAGGCATGGGGAAAAGGGTTTGAGGTAGATCCTGGATTGACAAATTCAAAAAATGATCTTGTGCATAAGAAGCGTGGAGACTGACTGCTCCATGACAATCACTCTCTCATCCCTCAGCTTTACCATCTTCCTGATTCAGCAGGGCCACATCTCCAACCACTCTGAGTAATCCCCATCATCCACTCTCAAAGCCAGGATGCCGGGCTTAAAAAACAGACCAGACCTAGTGTTCAAAAAGTTAGTAGAATTCCAGGACCTCATCTTCAATGTGCAATTGGACAATGACCAACCAGCAGCAAGTACTCCACCATTCCGTTACTGGGATCGCAGGCACTAAATTACGTTTGCCTTCCTGTGACAGACAATCATGCATTTCAAGGGTAGAGCTTTGTTACTGTCATGGGATGTCAAACACCATTAAACACTTTCATAGGTTAATTTTTGCATAAAAGTTTGTTTTAAAAATTCTCTGAGACACACTAAAATAGGATACCCCAATGAATCAATTAGATATCATACTATAACAGTGGAAAAACCACTGCCTTGGCAGATATAAATGAATAACAGACACATTTTTGCTAGTCAGTCACTGTATTTGGCACAGCTGTCATTTCACACCTTTATTTTTTCCTCAGAGACCCAGCCAAGAAGATTAGGATATAATTAAAGGTCTGGGGAAGGCATATCGTGAAACTAAAATCTGCTCAGACAAAACTTGATTACAGACTGAAGTTGGTTTCCCTGGCAACTTTTCTTCTTTCCAAAATGGGCAGAGTCTAGCTCCCCCACTAAATAACCTAGATGCCTGATTTTCACTAAAGCTGACTGAGTGACCTAAACTTCTAGGTTACAGTTTTGTAAATGACTCAAATATACATGTTATGTTTCTGGAAATGATGAGCACATAAACCATACACAAAGTTGGGCATGAGATCACCCGGGTCCAGAGTCAGAATCAGAAGTCTGGAGTGGGAGGAGACAGAGGGAGAAGAAGAGAAATAGCACTGAGCTGCTACCTGCTCTGCTTCTGTTGGTGAGAGGACGTGTTTTTGAAGAGGTGGTTTGAAGATACTCAAGAAAATGGGAGCACATCACAGAGCTGCTGTGTCTGCACAGGGTTGTGAACAGGATCACATTTTACAATCCGTCTTTGCCCCCACACCAGTGTCAGGTTTATGCACAAGCTAAATAAGCTAGGGGTCTCAGGTTATATGGGGTTCTAAATTTTAAAAAAACAACCAAAACTAGTTTTTAGTTGCATCCTCACCTGTGTACTGGGACATATACAAATAAAAAACTTTATTATTTCTATGTCCATTGTCCTTTCTGTTAAAATAATGTTATGGGGACTCTTAACTGTGACATAGTTTAGGGCCTCAGCATGACTTAATCCAGCTCTGCCCACACCTATGCAGGAGAAGCAATTCACTTGTTTCAAACATTCACTTGTTTCAAACAGATGAAAACTCTCCAGGGGCTGCCTGTAACTTATTGCGAGCAGAGAATAAAACAAGCAACTTGATTAGGAAGTCTGAGCTACAGCAGACCTGTAGCAAAGGGGAGAAAAGTTCAGCATAATTTCTGTCTAAAAAAAAAAATCTACTGATCCCTATAAGCTTCCACCTCCTTAAGATTGGCCAATTACCCTAATGCCAAGCTCTTGAGTAAAAATCAGCCCTCTGAGGGTATTAGAGAGGGAGTGAGATTTAAATCCATTCTGTCCCCAGACTGGAATTCTTCATCCACAAAGGAGTTTAGTGACATGCCCTCTCACAAGGTAGCCACCACAAAATGACAGTGTTGTTGGTCTGAAATTCTCAGATCTTCAACTTCAAACCCTATGGCTATGTCTACACCGCCTCCATTTTGCGCAAAAAATATGCAAATGAGGCAAAGTGTGGAATTATCGCCACACTTCATTTGCGTAATTAATTAGGCTCCATTTTTGCACAAGAGCTTTTGCTCAAAAAGGAGCCATTTACACATTTTTTCAGGAAGAATGGCTCTTACGCAAAAGCCTCTTGCGCAGGAACGGAGTCTCAATTATGCAAATGAGGCACGGCGATATCCCATGCTTTGCCTCATTTGCATATTTTTTGTACAAAACAGGCTATGTCTATGCTGCCCCCATCTGTAGATTCAGACGTCCAAACAAGCAACTAAAATGGGCATAGACATAGCCTATCTGTAGATTCAGACGTCCAAACAAGCAACTAAAATGGGACTGAGTTTTAAATAAACAGACATTTGAACCAATACTGCTACTTTAAAAGACAAGCATCTTCAGTGAAGAGGAGCGCCCTACCATCAGCCTGGCCAAATTAGTTTTAGGAAAAATTCAAACAGAACCAGATAATAAAGAAAGTTATGACATTTAGGAAATAGACATCTCTGGTAATCATCAACTGGCAGCTCTTCTCAGGCAGGTGTATTAAACGGTCATAAAACGTCGGGGCATTTGATTTGTGTGTCATTTCTTCTCATGTCCACAGTTCAATCAGGTAAAACTAAAACCTGCTGATAGTGGTGCCTAGGACGTGGCAGAATAAACTCTGAGAATTGTAAGGGAGGAACTAAGGGCAACACTGCCTATTTAGAATGAAACGTGTTTGTTTTTTGCAATGTTGGGATTCTCTACGCAGCACCCACACACATTTTTGGAGTCCTGGTCCATATTTGCTGGATTTTAATCCCTAACTCACAAGTGCCAGCATTCCAGAGAAATGCCAGGCAGGGTTCTTACTTTCTGTATGAAATATCCCTAAGGAGGTGGGGTATAACCTAAGCCTGGAGGATGACGGTGAAGGCCTTTCAGAAGGGCTCAGTTTCACATGGCATCATCATGTTTGGTTCATATAGTTAGATTTGGGCTGAAGTGCCTGAACAGTCTAATTGGTCTGAATACTCTTTTGTTAATTGTCAAGTTTAGTAACAATTTCCAAGGAAGCAAGCTTGTTTTCCAAATCAAAAGTAAAACATGCCAAATTGAACCCAGAGCTAAGACTTATTGCCAACATAGGACCTGAAAGTGTGTGTGGGGAGGGAGGGAAAATTAGGGTAGAAAAGAGTGTTTCCTAGGGTATATTAGCACTACAGGGACTCTACAGATATAGCTATGTCACCATAGCAATGCTGACACTATGCCATGGTGTAAAACAGCCTGCATCAATGGAGGAGATTTTTCCTGTCACCATTTTGCTGAACAACAGAAGCTAGTATCAGAGGGGTAGCCGTGTTAGTCTGAATCTGCAAAAGCGGCGAGGAGTCCTGTGGCACCTTATAGACTAACTGAAGTGTAGACGCATAAGCTTTTGTGGGCAAAGACCCACTTCGCCACTTGCATCTGACAAAGTGGGTCTTTGCCCACAAAAGCTTATGCTCCTACACTTCAGTTAGTCTATAAGGTGCCACAGGACTCCTCGCCGCTTTAACAGAAGCTAGGTTGATGGAAGCATTTTTCCATTGACATAGCTCCATCTACATTGGGAATTAGATGAACATATCTATAGCATTCAGGGATGTGACTCTCTCATATCCCCAGTTGACATTACTGTAGATCAAACCTTAATTATGCTTTGAATTTTCCAATGGAGTGCCCTCCCAATTAATTTCAAGTAATGTGACAGATATGGTTGGCAAATGACTGAAAAGTGGCTCTGTCAGTACCAGTGGTATCTACCTAGCCTATCAGCATTGATTCTGCATTTTCTAGATTTCACCCAAAAGAGAACTGTAGCGTTCTAGTTGTCTTTGGCAAGAGCAATTTTGGCTTTGATTTTTGTCCTCTCCTTTACTGAATGAATTGTTCAGACAGTGGTGGATACCCTGCCACTACTGGTTTCTCCATAGGGTGGCATCTTCTCATATACTTCTGTGGATCCAGTGTTACTATATGTCATATGTACTTAACTGCTAAGCTAGATTTCAGACCTGCCGCTATTCACAATTAATACAACTTGAATGCTTTATCTAGACTACCACTTGTTAAAACCTAGTAGCCTGTGAGACATATATAAGCTTGATAGCATTAACCAGCCACAGGACATACCATTAAAGATAGAGATGTAATCATGTAGTCGATTAACTAATTATCCGATAAGCAAAAGCTTATAGGTTAATGCTACAGACTACACGTGTTTCCCTCCCCCACCCTGGACAGGGACTACTGCTACCCTGTGCTGTTGCCTCTGTATCAGAGGCAGCAGCACAGGGCGACGGGCAGACAGTCTACCAGGGGACTGGTTTTTAAACTGGCTCTCCTTGAAGACCAGCTCCCATCTGGCACTCCCCTCGGGAGTGGGGCTAAAGTGCACTGGCTTCCAGTCCGGCCTCCTAGGGACTATAGAATAGTCAACTAACCAATACAAATTCATGAGGTTACTCGACCATTCAATGAACTGGTATTTAACATCCCTAATTAAAGATAGAATCTTTGCTAAATGACAGAATACATTCATTTTATTCTGACCATTACCTGAATTTGTGGCAGTCCATTTGCTCTCTTGCCAGAAGCAGAGTTTAGGTTTTCTATTAGCTCATGTGTGCCATTTCCTTTCTTCCTCCTGCTTGATTTTGTTTTTCACAGTTCTCCGCACTGCTGCTCAATGTGCAGCCTCAGACTTACAGAGCAGAGCAAAGCCTTTCAGCCAGCCAGTCTGGAGTGAATGAACTTTCAGAAGTTTGTTTGCCAGCATTCAACATAAGTGCCAAGGGTTAGCATTGGAATGCATGGGCTGAAGTCGGGCTACAGTAACTTACTTATTCTAGGCCTTTTATGTGTGTGTAGGAGCAAGCTTTCTAGGTTAGCGAAGGCGGCTTTAACGGGGAAAATGATGAGCAATACACAACTGTGAGTTAATAACTTCTTCCTTACCCACAGCAGACTACTACAGCTTTCCTTACTCTGTCACTATATCAATTCTGTGTGGTAGGAGCCATGCTGCTGATTTTAATGAATGCAAATTATCTTGAAGTGGCAATATCTGCTAATTTGATACATAACAAGTGTTACAAAATGTTAACTTAATCATGTTCCAGGCCCTATATAAATAGTCTACTAGTGATGTCTCCAGCTTATACAGTTTTAAAACCCAATCTTAGTGTCTACTACTTCATTGATATATTGTGCCATCTTTGCTAATACCACAACACCTTGACCCAATACAACCATCTTGCAGCCTTTAATAGGGATTAATCCATAATTTAGCCGTTAACCACCCACCTGACAAGATCCATTCCCAGCAGGGCTTCAGTTTCAGAAGCTGGCTCTCTGGTGGTGATGGCTTCATTAGCGACGCAAACTCCATGTTCATTGGCTCCCATTTCTGCCCCCCACAGCCAGGCAGGTTTGCTTAGCACAACAGCATGAGTCTTCGGTACCTGATCGATTGCAATGTATGTGCACTGCAAGGGAGGGGAGGGGGGCAGAGAGAGAATACTGAATGAAACTGCAGGCAAGCCATTATCTTGCGCCACTAAAGTGCATTGAATTTCCTTATGTACTGAAGTCCAGTCAAGGAGATTTTAATAAATTACATTTACAAATCCACACATTCTAAAACACGTAGCATTTCTAGGCTTCATAAAAATGGAGAGGAGGGCAAGGAAGGACTGTTACAATTATCACACAAAATGTGATATTTTCTTGCATTATAGAAAAGGTGAAACATTTTTATATTACATTTTGATAGTACCAGTCCTCCAAAAGATTATACATATCATGAATGACAAGTTGAGCCGGAGACAGAACTCAATAGAGCAGCAATAGAGATATGATACCTGTCCAAACATAAGGGACACAGACCACATTTTGTAGGTAGTAACAGAATACCATTTATAAAGATGGAATGCATATACTTATGGCTAAACTGCACCTTTACCTGGACACAACATTACGTGCCTCATGAAACACTTCATTACTGCAACAAAACAGAGTAATCTAAAGGACTGCCCGAGAAAACACCAATTGTATCCATTTAAATTTGCTGCTTGTGTATATGTGGGAAGAACAAAGACTAAGTGTTTATCTGAACACAGTGGTAGTAGTCACAGAAAAGTAATGTGTAGACTGATTTGCTTCAATCTAAGTTTTGCAGCATGCTACTTAAAATTATAATCAGAAGTCTATGGATCTGTTTAGACAAGAAAAAAAGCACAGGGTGGAGCTCTGAAAGAAGAATAATCCATTAATTCCCCCCCAATAATCCCCCCCCCCCCCCCGGCTCCCCCCCCCACACACTTTATTTTACTCTGTAGTTTGAACATCTCCCTATCATTTAAAGATAGAAATGATCTTCCCAAACTGTAGAAGAAAAAGTCTGATTTATTATTAGGTTATTTGCACATAAGAGGGGGAACAGGGACATTTAATAAAACCTTTACAGGAAATAAAGACGTGAGAGGAAATGAAGTAGAAGAAATATTGGTATTTTGTTTTAAATGCCATTAGTACTGTGTTCACATTTTTTCAGGAATATGTTCCGGTCTGGATCCCACTCTTGTGCAAATCTTGTCTTCAGCACTCTTAAATCTCCCCTTAATGGTCAATATTCCTGTGTAGCTGGGTACAAGAGCTGGAAGCCCGTCCTGCTGGAGAGAAGTGATTGATCATCAGCTCTATCAAGTGTCGCAGCAACCTCCAGCAAGAGCAGCACCGATGTATTCCCCTCACTATGTGGAAAAAGGTAATTCATGGTAGCAAGGGCTATTAGTCTGAGGGAACCGCTGCATGTAGTGGACAGACATTTGCACGCCCAGATAGCATGGGTGTAAATAGTATAGACAGGCACGCCTTAGGTGAGCAGAATACCCTACCTGCCTGAACCTAGGGTATGTACCCTATACTGCTCTCTATATGCCCAAGCAATGCTTCCAATGCCTACAATGCTATCTTTAAGCAATGTACTGCCCTGCTTTCTCCATTGCAGTGCAAGAATCTAGCAACAGCGAAAGGCCCTGCTGTGAGGATACAGCTGGGAAAATCTCCAATAGTTCCCCACTGCAGGAACCCTTCCCTGCTGCCTGTCCATGCATGAGCTTTTCACTGCTGCATGTAGTTACACAGCACAATGGATGCAACTGGTTTTCACCATGGCATGTAGCTAAACGTGTAATGCCTGTAGTCTACACCAGTGTGGATGAGGCAAGTTACTGCCAATCAGGGATAGCCTGACTTTGCCAAGGCTTGGGCAATGAGGGAGGGCGGGGGGGCTTCGCTCTGTAGCTCCTGGAAGGGGCAGGGCAAGGGGCAAGCAACCCACAGCGCCGCCCAAACTATGCCGCCACCACATCCCTGCTCTCAGTGCTGCCCAGACCATGCTGTGCCTCCCCCAACCAGTCTTCAGTGCTGCTTGGACTAAGCCAGGCAGGCCTCCACTCACCACTGGTGCCAAAAATGCCTGGGGTTTCCTCCCAAACCTGAAGGTGCGCAGAAAATAAAAACCACTGGAACCAAGATGGATTAACTAGCTCAATGAGCAGCATTGTCCTAGGCACATAGGAGCAGTTAACATTCCTTTCACTCTTGCTGCTGAGCTGTGAACACACTTGGAGGCATCTCTCTTTTAAGCTTTGTCTACACTGGCGATATTCCACACTTCGCCTCATTTGCATTTTTTGGTACAATAGGGGGCAGTTTGGCATAGTCTACAGGAACTTATTCCCACATTCTTTTCCTCCTGGGTGGGTGGCCTACCTCCAGTCAGTGTTGCCAACTTTTGAAATATTTGTGTTTTTTTCCCTTAAGTCCCAGCTCCTGGAGCCATGTGCTTGTGAGAACCTGAGCCTCCATTTCTGGCCCTCATGGCTAAAGCTTAACAGCGTGAACCCTACAGCCTCAAAAACTAGAATGCAAACAGCTTAAACAAACCACAATTGAGGCTAATTATCCAACTATTTTGGTGTGGCTGGGCTGGAGAGGAGGCTGCCTTGAGTTCTGACTTTTGAATGTGGTTGGCCTTATTGTCACTGTGTGCATCATTCATAGAAAACTGGCACGTGAGTCACGACAACATATCTAAGACTACTATAGTTGATCACTGAAGTCCTGACAGGATAGATGTGGAGTTTCCCATTCTGAAGGACTTTTCTATGAGGGTTTAGATTTGCAGGGCAAAAAGTGTGGTTTCACCAATCTGATGAGTGCATGTAGCTAAAATATGAACTGCAGCATGTTATTATTTTACTCACACCTGAGGCCATTCTAAAAGGGATAGCAACAGAAAGCCTCACATTTTTGTAACTAGCATTTTAATATTAGAATTTTAACCATGATACTTCTTCTAAGCATTCATTATGGAATGATACATGCCTGTGTGCTTATGGCACTGCCATACCCTCTCTTTTCACTACTGCTGCAGTTGCCGGAAACAGGAACAGTTGAGGGGAAAAGTGGGGCAGCTGACCAGTTACATGTGGATAGTGGAGAGGGAAGATACTAAGAGGAGATATGTCAAACTACTAAATTTTGTGGCACTTGCTTCTGCTGCTTGAACTAAGATTCCAATGAATTGCTTGAATTCCAATACTAAAAGCATCAGCATTCTTGCAGAGAATACCAATCAGGAAATATAAAAGTGAAATAAACTACAACGTAAAAAAAAGCATGAGAGAGTTTGCATGCAATTCCCCACTCCACGACCCACATTAAGGAGAATCAGACAGCCTGGAAATTAAACACAGTTGTGTTTTACTTCTGGCAGAAAGAAAAAAAACCATTGATAATGGCAGATCTAAATATAGTACAAAGCTTTCCAGAAGGATGGGGAATGAAGATAAGTACAAGAGATTCTCTTATATTAATGAAAAGCAATTATTGTGCTGTTCCTATTGTATGCGGTCAGCAGAAGTCTGATTCCTAGCACCGCCAGCTATAGTGGCCAAGTTAGATTTTGTCCTTGGATAACAAAGACAGTTGTGCTTGGATATTATTAGAAAAGGGTATTCTTTGAAGAAGGCGAATAGTTTTTGGGCTACTGGTAGAAGGAATCACACCTGCTCCCAGGGGCATGCTCTCATTTTTGGACAGCTCTGTGTGAATACTGCAGGGCTCACTTCTGTTATAAAGCACGTAGCATAATATGGTTTACCTTCTAGAAAAGGCTTAGTACACTTAGGGTGCATCTACACCACAGGGCTTAACTGGAAATAAGCTACGCAAATTGAGCTACGTCAACTGCGTATCTTCTTTCGAAATAGGGAGCGTCTACACAGAGCACTCTTCCTCCGACTTCCCTTACTCCTCGTACGAGGGTTACAGGAGTCAGCGTAAGAAGTCCTCCAGCTTGACAGAATTTTGACACTATTTCATAATAGCTGCCTGCTGTGTAGATGCAGACTAATTTATTTCAGAATAGCGCTTGTTATTGTGAAATAGTAGTGTCTCTCAGTCTCTCTCTATAGATAAATTCCTGCAGGATGACATAGTGACATCGTTACATCCCTCTGTATCCTGCTGCACTCTCTGCCCTCAGCTGCCCTAGCGCTTGTTATTGTGAAATAGTAGTCTCTCTCAGTCTCTCTCTCTCTATAGATAGATTCCTGCAGGATAACGTAGTGACATCACTACATCCCTCTGTATCCTGCTGCACCCTCTGCCCTCAGCTTCCCTGCCACCTACCTACCTTCCTCCTTCCCTCCCTCCCGCCCTCTCTCCCCACCCCCTTGCACTCACCCCAGTGCCATAGGGCGGGAGCCACAGGGCCTCCCCCAGATCCCTCTCCCCGGTACTCCATTGGGGTGAGAGCCACACAGCCTTCCACCTTGCAGGGGGGCCAGGAGCCGCATGCCCTCCTCGGGGGGGAGGGAGAGGAAGGCGGGCATGAGCTGCGCAGTCTCCTCCCTCCTCCCACCCAGGGGGGCTGGGAGCCACTCAGCCTCCCTCCTCCCAGGGGGCTGGGGCTGGGCTGTGTCCTTCCTTCCCCCTCCCACGGGGGCCGGGAAGCCTCCGCCCCTCCCGGGGGAGGAGGAGGCTGGGAGCTGCATGACCTCCTCCCCTCCCCACACCCTTCTCCCTCCCCAAACTCCCAGTCCCATTACTCACCCCTTGGCCAAGACCCTGCACTCCCAGCCCATTCACTCATACCCCCAAGCTGAGACCCTGCACCCCCATCCCTCTTACTCACCCTTCTGAGACTTCATACTCCCCTCAGCCCCCTCACACACACCTTCCACTGAGACCCTGCACCCCCAGCCTGCTACTGCCCCCTCCTCCACTGGCCAGACACCTACACCCAGCCCACTCCTGCACCCTACCCTCTGGCCAGACACCTCTCCCCAGCCTGCTCCTGCCTCCTCCCACGGACAGACACCTATCCCCAGAGAGGGAAGAGTTGGTGAGCGTAGTGAGCAAAGGGGCAAAGCCCCGTAGTATACATCTGTATCTGTATATATTTGAGAGAGTTTGT